TTATTACACAGACATAATTTCAGCTGTCACAAAGGGGAGAAAAGACGACCCCAGCAATTGTAGGCCAGTCAGTCTTACCTCAGTCCTTGGGAAGACCTTTGAGAAAATTATCAAGGAGCACATCTCCAAGGGCCCAGCAGGGGAGGTAATGTTCAGGGGCAACCAACATGAGTTCATTGAGGGCAGGTCCTGCCTGACACCTGGTTTCCTTTTATGATTAGGTCACAAAGTCCCTGGACGAAGGTGTCGGGGTGGATGTCATCTTCCTGGACTTTAAGAAGGCCCTTGATGCAGTTTCCCACCACAGTCTCTTAAAAAAACTTGGTGACTGCAGCACTGATGCCTACACAGTCAGATGGGGGGCAAATTGGCTAGATTTTCGCACCCAGAGAGTGGTGGTGGATGGGTCATTTTCGACCTGGAGGAATGCGGGCAATGGAGTCCCCCAGGGCTCAGTCCTGGGGCCTGTACCGTTCAACATCTTTATCAGCGATCTGGATGTGTGTGTGAAATGCACGCTGTCCAAATTCACTGACGACACCAAGTTGTGGGGCGAGGTGAGCACGCTGGAGGGGAGGGACAGAATCCAGCTAGATCTAGACAGGTTACAGAGGTGGGAGGATGAGAATAGGATGGAATTCAACATAGACAAGTGCAGGGTACTGCATTTAGGGAGAAGGAACCAGCAACACATCTATAGGCTGGAGAACACCCTTCTTGTCAACACGGCGGCAGAAAGGGATCTTGGAATCATTGCTGACTCCAGGATGACCATGAGCTGACAATGTGAGGAAGCGGTCAGTAAGGCTAACCGCAACTTGTTGTGCATCTACAGACGCATCACAAGCAGGTCCAGGGAGGTGATCCTTCCCCTCTATGCAGCATTGGTCAGGCTGCAGTTGGAATACTGCATCCAGTTTGGGTGCTGGACTTCAAGAGGGATGTGGCTAGCATTGAGAGGGTCCAGAGGAGGGCCACTCGCATGGTCAAGGGGCAGCAGGGTAGGCCCTCTGAAAAGAGGCTAAAGGGCCTGAACCTATTCATCCTCCACAAGAGAAGGCTTAGAGGGGATCTGGTGGCCACTTACAAACTCACCATGGGGGACCAG